AATTATCTTCTTCATCTTTGGAACCCATAGCGCTGCTTAATGCAATTCACTAGATCTGAAATGGAGATCTGTTTAGCTTAATTCTCAATTTGTATGTGAGAGAAAGCTGCTTAGTCTAGGACGTTTACTTTGAGGTTTGAAAAATGAAAGTCGCGGCCGATCAAAAAAACAAAAAAAGAAAGTCGCGACTTGGAATTTTCAATCCCATGCATATATGCCCTTTACCGGGGTCCATTTTGAATTTTGTACCGACAGTATTAAATCCATTAAAATAAGATGAAAAAATTGTTGTGTAGTCTTATTGTTCAAACTACAACGTAAACAATTAGATGGAATTCAGGATGTCAAATATTGAAATTTTTTTTATTTTAATTGTTTTTGTTTTAAAATTCAAATTTAAACAGTAAAATAAAAAATTTATATTATGCAAAAAAATTTATGGAGAATGAATATTAATTTTAAAGGCATAAAAAAAATTATCATGTTGAATAGATTTTCAATATAAATATATTTATCGTTGTTTTTTCTAAATCAAACACACTTTTAATACAAATTGAGAAATAATTTTGGAATAATTTTTTTGGTACAACTTGACATGTTATTATTAGTTTTTTTTATTTATATGAAACTCATAATATTAAATACATTTACTCATTTAATGATATATGACAATTATATTAAAATGTGATATAAAAAAATTATTTTTATAATACTATCCATATAAATTTCGCAACACATGTTATGATCACATTATAAATAATATAAAAATTGTTAAAATTATATTAATTTTACTGATACACCCAATTTAAGTTGGAAAAAATGACAGATATATTACAAAAGAAAAATAAAAAAAGAATTATATAGGGTTGAATTGAAGATGTAAAAAGATGACTTATACAATTGGTCGATTTGTTATATAATCCAAACCATTAATGTGTGAACTGTGAACAATTTTCCAATGATTTGGTGTAAGATCTTCAACGCCGCAAGGTCTACGCAACCCATCTGGGGTGGATGAGAATTAGATATTGACAAAATAGGTTTCCGTGTCTGCGACTGGAAAAACGTAACTAAGTACAGGTGTAATTATCAGTTTATAACCACGTATTAAAATATTAATGCAACAAAAATAATAATTTTTTAAAAAATAACTAATTTTAATATTTAAAATATTAATTTATAAATTAATTTTAATTTATTAAATTATTTATTTTATTATAATTTATTAATGAATAATTATTCATCTTAATTATTTGAAAGAACTACACCAAATAAAATTAATATTTTAAAAAATGATATTCAAAATTTTATATAACTTTAATATTTTATTGTGTATTCATAACTATACCCTCTCAATACAATTCATTTTCTTGAAGAAAAGACCTTCCATCATAATAACATACTTAGAGTCTATTTGATGTGATTTGTGAAAGCTTTAGGTTTTTTAGTACTATTATGAGTGATAAGTTTAAATTTTTATTGGAGGAAAAATAAAACTTTAACTTTTAGAAAGGTGAAAAAGTGAGTGAAAAATAAATAAAAAAAGAGTTTATGAAAAATTTAGATTTGAAACTTTTAAACTTTTACTGTTTAAGAATTTTTGAAGATTAAAAAAATATTTAAAAGTGTAAGTTTTTAGGAGGAAAATTTAAATTCATAAAACATGAATAGTATCAGAAAACTGAAACTTCCACAATTTGCACCAAACAGGCCCTTAAAGAGAACCTATTATTCTATACTTAAATTTTCTTAATTTGATTGTGTATGTATTTTTAAGTAATGTTGTTTTATGGTAAGTAAATAGTAATTAAAATTTTTTGATAAGATGGAATTATTTAACAAAATTTATGTATGAAAAAAATTTTAAATTGTCATTCATATAATATGAAAAAGCATTACCTAAATATACATATCTATTAATTTTAATATGGAGAACTTGGCTGTAAGGTCCCGTAGCTCAGTTGGTTAGAGCGTTGGTCTTATGAGCCGAAGGTCGCGGGTTCGAGCCCCGCCGGGACCACTTTTTACCTGGTAAACCATTCAACGGAGACTTTAACTACTAAATGCGGCCCGGCTCTAACCAAATCCCATCACATCGACTAACTTAACGTCGCTTGGCAAAGATTGTTAATTTAGAGATATTTCGAAAGTAAATAAAAAAAATTAATGTTAAAATAGGCATTACATTTAATGGTTTTTTTCTGTGTTTTGATGTAGGTTGAATTATAAAATAAGAAATTTTAATAATAAATAAATAAAATAAGAAATTTTAATAATAAATAATAGTATTTTTTGTTGTTTAAATTTAATAGTTATAATTTTATTTTTTGATATTTTAAACGTTGAATTTTAAAAAATTATAATAATTTATTTAAACAATAATTAAATTTTTTTTTTCATGTGTAATTTTTATTGAGTCTCTTTATTTAATTAAAAAAATTTTCAATTATTATTTTATAATATGTTAAATTATTTAAAATTTATATTTTAAAAATAAAAAAATTAAATTAAAATTAAAAAAAATTGAACGGAAGTAGTAGTTTATTAAAAATTGAAATTTCTTTTTGGGTAAGAAATTCTTACTATTTTCTAACATAAAATGCAACATCAATGCATCTTTCAGGTCAAAAGATCAACATAAATGAAAGGAAGAAAGAATCTGGAATGGGCAAGAGTTCCCATCACACGACGTCATTATAGGTTTGGTTCTCCGGTCCCTTTGGGCTTCCTTCGGTTGAATTTTTCCAACCTAAAAAACAGACCAACAACCACTCAGACCTAGAAAAACAGGTCTTCATACGACCATATGAGTTGTTCAAGGGAGAGGAAAGAGAAGAATGAGATTTTCCCCTTTTTTTTTTTTTTTTTTAAACAAATTTTCTGTCTTTACTGGTTCAACATCTTTCTGGGACCAAAAGGAAAAAACTTGCTAGTAATGGGCCATGGCAATCCACATTCCACACCAACCCTTTTATTATTCCTTTCTTACGGGCTTTCCTTCTTCTTTACTACATCTACTGTTGTTGTCAACCCCTTCTCCTCTGCATAGTTTCTCAGTGCTTATCCTAAAAGTGCTTCCTCAATCCTAAGGACCCCTTTTGCTGCTTTGTTGGTATGTCATGGATTTTGCCGCTTTGTTGGTATGTTATGGATGATACCCGGATTTTCTTTTGCTTTCTTCTTGCTTTTTTTTTTTTTTTCTTCTTTTTGTTTGCTTCTAGTATAAGTTTAGAAGAAAGATGCGATTTTGGGAACACCCTTGATACTTTATTGAGATTTTGGGATCTGGATACAAATGGTAAATTGAGTTAGATTTGGTCAGTTTAGACTTTAGGGATAAGTTACAGAAGTTCTTTGTGATCAAAATTGTGGGTGAATTATATTTTGGGGTTTTCCTTATGATATTCTTGTTGTTTTAGTTGATATGCAAATCCACTCTGCTATTACCCATTTGATTAGTTAGAGAGAAATAATAGTGAGTATTTTTGTTGTTGAAGATTGATATAAACTCTGTTTCTCTGCTTTAGAAACCAATTTGCAGGTTTCCTGGTTCGGACGTACTTAATTAATCATGCATTTGTATTTTTCTTAGATATTTTTATAGTCTGAAAGCATCGTGTGTACTGCAATTTGATCCATCTAGGAAACTATTTGATTACAAAGAAATTGGAGGGAAAAGAGATCCATACTTTAAAACTTAGCATGTTCTTGTACAGAACTTCACTACTTGAATTTTAGTCACTGTTTACTGACTGTATTTGATTATATTTTTTCCATTGAAAATATCATCAGGATTAGGTTAAGTTGAATAGACATTCTCAACATCAGCAATGGGTTCTCGAAATTTGTTCAAGACAATAATCGGTTTAAAGAAAGGGAAGGATGAGAATTCAAAGAAAGTGAAGGTATTGCAGCATTTAAAGGTCTCTCAATTTTGCTTTACATGTTGCAAATTAAGCAATGCAGTTTCATCTATTTTCAGTGATTAAAACAATGTTAGTTCTTTTTTGAGTATGTATGGATAATTTAATTGACCATTTAATTCCATTTTTATTTTTCTCAAACACCCTTCGAAGGTTGATTGTTTTTACCATTGGAATGATATATGTGAAGACTATTAATTACTCTTGTCTGTTTGAGAAAGATAACCACAAATACTAATTTGTAGTGGTAGGTGGGTATGTTGAAAAATGGCAAGGACTGAGTATTTATTTAATCTCTTGATGTTGTTGTTACCATGTAATCATTCCATCATATTTGGTCAGGGATCTTCAGCTTCTGCAAAATCAAAAGGTTTCAAATGGAAGAACCGGCCACAAAAGTCATCCACTAGTTTTGCAAATAGTTGTACTGGTGGAAATCCTAGCAATCTTGGCATGCCAATTGAGGATTTAGCTGCAATTCGAATTCAAACTATGTTCCGTGCCTATAAGGTATGTTAACTTAAAATGGACTAAGATCACACATTCTGTGTTCTTGTGTGTTTCTGTTGCATTGTCAATCTCTGATTTGCATTCTGAGATTGTACCCTGGATTGTCTAGAACTTCTTTTTGCATTTGGTGTTGCATCTAGTGTGACCTAAATTTTTTTTCCTCTCAAGGAAAAATTGGATCTGTTTTATTTGAATTACTTTATATGTAAGTCCAAACTTTCTGTTGTCAGTTTCATAATTGATGAATACCCACAATAGACATCTGTAGCAGTGGCTGATTTTATAGGATACTTTTAAACTTAAATTAGTTTAGATTCTACATTTGGAATGAAATGTTTTTATGTTAAACAGTATGCAATGACCAATGGAGCCTGATCCTTGCTAATTGGGTAGTGACTATGGAAAAGTATTTAACAATACATTGCATAAATATTTCAGTGGCAACCTACTTGACATCTATGACAATTATATTGTTATGATGGAGAAACATTGCATATACTCATTACTTTTTAATTAATTAATGCCGTGGACGTGAATCCTCTCTCTTTGCTGGTTTTGAGTATGTTGGAGGGTAGGTGGCATGCTTTACATTCCAGTTGCAGGTGTCTTAAATTGTAGCTATTCACCATCTCATTTTACTCACAGTATTGATTTGGTAATTTCCATTTTCATGATGCAGGCTAGAAAAAGCTTGCGTCACTTGAAGGGAATGGCAAGATTACAGACCATGATCCAAGCTTCTGCTATTAAAAAGCAAGCAACAGTTACATTAAATCATCTTCATTCATGGTGCAATGTACAGGCCCAAATTAGAGCTCGTCGACTCTCTATGGTAACAGAAGGCCGGCTTAGACAGAAGAAGATGGAGAATCAGCTAAAGCTTGAGGCAAAGCTTCATGACCTAGAGGTTAGATCAATTGTCCCTGCTCTATGATGACTAAAATTGATTTAGGTGCTGATGGTGCACTGGAAGTTTCTTCTTATCACATTTTTTATCTTGAGAAATTCGTTTAAGTCTTATCTAGGCTTCTATTAGTGGTATATTTGAACAGCTCTGGAGAAATTTGCATCAATTTTTAGTTTCTCAAATCTTATGTTTTATATCTAAAGATCTATTTTTTAGGAAGATTGAGTTAAGGGATGTGATATCAGCTTTAATGTTTCTTGCTTTTTGTAGTTCAAGTTAGTTTCCAGACTATTTATTTATTTATAAGTGGCTATAGTCTTTATTAGAATCAACCATTCTTATTCACGACAGTCCTCAGGTTAGAATAGGTGATCATATATCAAGCTTGTGATCTTTGAACTGATGATACCTTTGAATCTTGACCATATATGATATTTCTACTTTCTTGTTCTTCTTCATCTTTTTCATATGTTCTTAGTGAACTTTGATCATAATAACCTGCAATTCCATATTCATCATATAAAGACTGCAATTTCTCCTGTCAATTCTGATTTGGGATGAGTAGTCTATTGTTTAAAACTTATAATGATGTCAGGTTTGTTTCTTCTGTCCTTTTGCAAGCTGCTTGTTGAATTGTTGGATGAATTCTCTTTTGGGTCAGGAAATCTTGGTCATTCTATACTTAGGTCTGCAATATTCCTTACATATTTATCCTCTGTGCTTTCATCTCTGCATTCTAAAATTTTAAGCCCTTTTATGTTCTTTTCATTGGCAAAGTATCTGGACTTTTGGGTTGTGGATGATAATTTGGTGAAACAATATCTGAGGATGCCTATTTGCTGTTGAAAACCTCCTGGATGTCTTGAGGTTGCTTAGTGGGGGGCCATCCAGTTTTTGGTCTCCTAACATTGGTTCAATCTATGACAGGTTGAGTGGTCTGGTGGCCCTGAAACAATGGAGGAAATTCTCGGCAGGATACATCTGAGAGAAAAAGCAGCAGTTAAGCGGGAGCGAGCTATGGCATATGCCTTTTCCCATCAGGTACTATGATCTCAGAAGCTGTCAATCTAATTTCCAAGTATTATTATGCCAAAGAAAAATCAACAATCATCATGTGGAATCTGTGTTTTGCAGTGGAGGGCCAACTCAAACAATAATGGACTCAACAATTATGAACTTGCCAAAGCCAACTGGGGTTGGAGCTGGGTGGAACGTTGGATTACAGCTCGACCATGGGAAAGCCGGGTGCCCACCTCGAAAAAGGTCCAGGGTAAGCAGACTAGCAAGGTTGGCAAGAACTCAAATTCACCATCTGGAAAAGCATCAGCTCCAGTTAAAGCATCTCCAATAAATAGAAAAGGAACCACAAGAGCTCGGAGGTTAACTTTCCCAGGCGCTGAAAAACCAGCTCCTCGCGAAGTCAAAAGTAATAACAATGAAGAAATGAGTAGCAAAAATGAACAAGAGGCACATAATATAGTTTGAAACTGATAGTGTTTTTTACCCAAAGAAGGGAAAAAATTCATAGGATGTCCATTTGGTGATGCTGCTTTCTTTTTGCCACTTCCTCATTCTTGTTAGCTGTACTCGAAAGAAATTTATGTGATTGTTTCTCATTCTTCTTTATTCCCCTGTTCTATATCATGTATATGGAGGATTGGTAGAGAAAGATTCTGTTGCCTGTGAATATTAAGATTCTAATTACAAAGTCTCATGATTGTAATAGGAATTTCAGAGCATCCTAGCTTTAATTCCAAAGAATGTGCGCTTATAAATATAATCAGCTAGTGGGAACTAAAATTCATCTGTACTGTTCAAACTAACATATATATATATATATATATATTTGGAACTTTGTTTTAGAGTCTAATTATTTTAAATTGCAAAATAGTGACTATTTGATAGGGAAGGGGTGTCATATTAGGGAGGTCAATTTTTATCCAATAGTTAATATTGTATAATTTAATATAATTTAAATTACAAAATATTTTTAATATCTTTTATAATATCAAATCAAATTTAAAAAAATTAAACTCATGATTTAAAAAAAATATTATACACTTTAAATTACAGTAAACTATAAAACACTATTAGATCAATGGACCCCTTATTTGAAGGGATGGGACCTCTTGATTGGAAATTTAGGTGGCTTGTATTTTGTAATTTGGAATGCAAACCGTTTGGACTACTAGTACCATATTTAAATCTAACTTTGAACCCATTACTATTAATTTCTGGCCGAAAAAACCCACTAGGTTTATTTTATTAGAATTAAGTCAGCTCCATCCTTGCTTACCTAACTCATTTACCACTCACCAATGGTGAATAAAACTCTCTCCAATGATCTCCCTCCTAAGGAAGCTACCCATATCGTTAACACCACCTCTGAGCAAGTTCATGGACTCCACGGTATCCTTCACTGGCGGATCATCGGTCAGACTCCTGGCCTTGGCTCAGCAGCTGCGTCTCTACAAGCCCCCTTCTTTGGATGAAGCTGAGGAGCAGCGCATCGAAGAAACAGCGGGCAAAGTCGTGTCCCAAGTGGGTTTTCAAGAATCTGTCACGCCAATGGCGAGAGACCCAGAAAGGTTTAGACCCAAGAGAGGTGCTGTCCTGATCTGCCTCTTTGAAGGGGATGCTGGGGATTTTCGTGTGATATTGACCAAGAGGTCTTCGGGGCTGTCAACTCACCCAGGTCAGTATTAGTGTAATCAAATATCTGAGGCGTAATTTATACAGTTAGCTTTTTATTAGAATTTCAAAACTGTTTCTTTGTGTCCAGGATCTTGTTGATAGTCAATTGTGGATGAAATTGTGACCTTTATTGAACTGAAACTATTGGTTTATGGAAATTTAGAGCAAAAGAAGAAGACTTGGAATATTGTGTTCTGGTTGTTCATATCTGCTTCTGAGTAACCATATGTAGGATTGAGATCTTTTTGTGGCCACCAAATGTAGGCTTGGTTGTGCTGATGATTGTAGAAAGTGATTACTGCTGGATGATTGTTTGACATGGTAGGTGTGTTTTTTGGTACTGTGGTTGCAGGGGAAGTTTCATTGCCCGGTGGGAAGACAGAGGAGGGGGATAAAGATGATGCTGAGACTGCAACCAGAGAGGCCAGAGAGGAGATTGGGTTGGACCCTTCACTTGTGAATGTTGTTACTGTTCTTGAACCTTTTTTGTCTAAGGTATTAAAATATTCTTCTGCAAATGTCATGTCTTGTCAGTAACTGTGTCTATGTTGTTAAGAAACTTCAAAATAGCTGTTATCCATGCAATTCACTGTATTCTAAGAACCAGCTAAATATTCAAATGATTCGAAAGCTTTGTCTTGATTTATAGGAGTTGCCATCTCTGAACTCTTGTGCTTTTGTAAAGCTTGTTGCTTTGCATTTTGAATTTACAAAATTGTTGGTTTTGTGTGCAGCATCTTCTTAGAGTAATTCCTGTTGTAGGCATACTTAGTGATAAGAAAGCGTTCAAGCCTACTC